TACAAGTTGGTTTTTTTCTATTTTTTTTAGGACAGAGTAGTATGTGATATGCCTACGAAACTTTCAGCAGTATTTGTAGTATAAATGAGAAATGTTCTTAGGAAGACAACTTTCTTACAAAGAGTACATTACTTTTTTCTCCCTAAAACAACTTTTAAACTACTTAATGAAACTTTTTTCATTAAGAGCAAAAAACTTTGTAATAGAGACTACAAATTTCTACTCGAAAAAACTTACTCTTTAGCAATAAAAGATTATATTAGGAAACTTTCACATAAAGACTGAAAAGCATCCAACTAGTTAGCGATATTTAACTTTGAAATCATTTTAGAGCATACTTTATTTATTTAAGTATAAGATAGGAAAAATAAAACACATGTGCATGGTAGACAATTAGGAACAAGTTTATATTACACCCCTAACTACGAAATCAGTCATTTTACACTCATCAACTAGCAAAATGGATCAAAATACCACCCTAAGAGCAGTACAACCAGATATTAATAGTCACTTTCATGATTTTGACATCAAAATAATATATAATTTTTTTTACTTACATTTAACTCTTTTTTACATATCACAATACCTAGATGCCATAGGAGTAAAATAAAATTTTATTCGGGCATCAAAATAATGAAAATCATTATTAAACCAGATTGTATTGTCCATAGGCGGTATTTTTGGGGTGTAAAATGTCTAATTTCATAGTAAAGGGCTGTCTTTTTAGACAGACCTAATTGTAGAGAGGTGTAATATGGACTTGTCCAATTGAAAACGAGGTTACAGATAAAGATTAATACTCCCTCCGTCTTAGATATGTCACATCTGTACTAGGTTGTACTTATATTGGGATATAGCGAGTACCATAATTTCCGTTTACATCTCAAATTGACCAATACAATTCCTAGTTTGACCATAAATGGTAAGGTTACGCTCAAACAATTTTTAAAATTAATGATGTTCCACACTTCGATATTATGTCATATATATTTTTAAGTATTTAGGAATTTATTTATTCAAAAAAGAGATATTAAAGTTTAAAGATGTATAGCAAAACAAGCATATGTGCGTGGCCTGTTGTAAAACACATCACCTCAAACACAGGGATGGCCCAGTTAAAGTAGTGTTGGTACAAGTGAAAAAAAGAAGAGTAGATAGTAGGCCCATTAATAGTGCGGTAAAGAGAAAGAGCAAATGATTCATGTAAATGGTGTGAGAATTTGTTTGTGTTGCATGAACTATAGGTTTTTTTGCAATCACATGCAGACATACATCACCACTCCTGACGCACAACACATGTATACACCCGCAAGTGCGCCCCTTTAACTCACCATCATGATATGGAAGCCAATGATAAATTCGTGAAAGCCTCATTAAATTCCTTAACCATAGGATTTTCAGTTTGGTTTAACCATTACTACAAAACACCCCATAGAGACCAACCTTATAGGTGCTGGTTTACTTAAAACTGACACCTATAAAGCTTTTTCCTTTTTTTTTTTGTGTAAAATTAAGAGCCGGTACCTACAAACACTTATTGGTACCAGTTTGTAACAAAAACCGGCATCAATAGTCCTCCAAAGTCATAGGTGCCGGTTCTCATAACAAACCGTTACCTAGACAACACATAGGTGCCCGTTCTTATCATAAACCGGCACCTATAACTACGGTATCATAGGTACTGGTTTTTATTATGATCCGGAACATATGGGCATCACATATGTACTGGTTCTTAATAAAAACCGGTACCTATGAGCCCATAGGTGCCTGCTTACAATTAAAACTGCACCTATGATGACACAACTCATATATGTGTGTGTTTTATCTAACTTTTTCATATAAAGTCGTATGAAGATAAGCTTTATATCAAATTTGTAGAGCTCGACGAGATCTACAACTTTGTAGTTTATGACTTTTTTATTGAAGGATGTTTGGATGTCCGAAAATGTGTTACAAGGTCTCAAATCTAGTTGCATGAGTGGATATTTAAAATTTCTAAACGATATCGGGTGGAGACAAAACCTATATAAAAATTGTAGATATGGATGAGATCTACATTTTTGTAACTGACAAACTTTTCATTTGAGCTTATCTATGGTGTTAGATATGGATTATAAATTTGGATGATAGTGGTCTCAAAGGAATAGCATTTATTTCCAAGACAAGAAGTGGTTGTAGGTGAGATGGTAATGTGACTTTGTGTGAAGTGAGTGGTCTTGAGTTTGAATCTTCCATGAGACATGTATGTGATTATGGGTTGAAAAAATCATGTGACTTGTGGGATGAGAGAGTTATTGTATAGGTGCCTAATAAAAATATCATTTTTTTTAATTTTTTTAGCACCTGCAAAAATAAAAAAACAGGTGCACCCCTATAGGCCTATAGTGCCACAAACTTGGTTCTAAATTAGACTGGTTCTAATTGGTGCCGGTACCGGACCTATAAGCCCTCTAAAACTGGCACCTATGAGCTTTTAAGTAGTAGTAAACGCTGTATGGGAAAATAATCATTTTCCTATTTTCTGGCAAAAAATCCCATAAGCTCTCATCTGACTGTTTGGAATTTTGTTGGAATCAATAATTCAATTTCCATGAGATCCCAAATACCTTTCTGCCAGGATTTTGGTTCCAATTCTGCGACCCCACGCCCATATCATTGATCCAAATGCAGCTTAAAGTGATTTACTAGATTGCATAGTTATGCATTCATATTATATAAATACTAATACCAGTTTATTGGCCCAGTGTCAGCACTAAACACAATAATGGGGAGATGGGGCCTGACGGCACCATCGGAATGGAACATCAGTGGTGAGCCCTGCAGCGGTGTAGCCTCTGACAATTCCGACTGGGATAACTACCCAAAAGACCCTGCCATCAAGTGTGACTGCTCTTCCAACGACAACACCATCTGCCATATTATCAAACTGTAAGCTTGCCTTCTTGTCTTGGTTTGATCAGCTGCACATACAAGGTGTTCGATGCAATATGCCTGAAATAGCCCATGTCGTGCTGAACCTGCAAGTATTGTTGGTTGCTTGATTTCTAGGTGTCATCAAGTTCAACAAATGTGCATCTGCTACTTGCCCCTGCGTAGATTTTACGATAGCGTAAATAACTCAACCAGGCAAACCGGTTAATTGGAAAAAAAAAGGGAACACTGGCTTGTCTGGTTTAGTACCAGCCAAAGCCTGATCTGGCCAGCAGCCAGCTCACACTCTAGACACAAATCTATACTACTTCAAAAGACTCTAGTGGTGGTGGTGGTGAGTATGTCACCACCACCACCACCATTGACATATGGGACCATGGGGTACACTACACCACCATCACCATTGACAGATGAGGTCATAAGGTACACTGCATGAGGTCATTGTACTAACCAACCTCTACAAGAATAGCTGGCCTATGTTTTACTTTTTAATATGAAGAATCTTGTTTGAACCAAGTAGAGATAAATATTCCTTTTTCAACCATGAGAACTGCTTTTTTTTTTTCTATTTTTGATAATCCGTTGCAACGCACGGGTATTTGGCTAGTATATTAAATGACCTATTGAGACTTAAACCGGCACACTACTAGGAAAAAGGTCTGAAAGGGTCATCACAGGCTGTCCCTAACCCATCTATGAGTTTCTATAATGGTGGAGTCATTCCAGACTAATCTGTCTGTGAAAGTGTATATTGTTAGAATTATCTAACAGAGAATTAATAAAAGTTCCAACTTGTGAATTTCATATTTTCTGGAAACTAATTGGAAATAAGAAAATCTAGAGCCCACATGTTTTTGTGAGAGGAAAAGATCGTAGTGAGCTGATAGCATTAATCGGCTGGCCATTCAATATGACTGTGAAGCACGAAGCAATTTTTATGCATGCATGCATGCGTTCCTGCTGCTGATTCGTTATTTGCTTTCTTGTCTTTGTGTGGCCAGCACACAAATCCCTATGTGTTACTGTATGCTGCTCCTTCTAGACCTTTATTTACTGAGAATTACTGCTCCTTCTAGACCCTATGTTGACCCGAATTACTGAGAATGACGTTGTATCTCCAGGAACTAGATGCTTCGGATCCTGCCTCTAGGTTGGGTGCAATTGTCATCTAAGATGGCCACTTAGTCATGCTTAACCATGGTTATCAATATTTTCGTGTACTGTTGACTTGTCAGAAAATTTTGATCCCTCTCTTTAGACATGCCACTTGCTATTGAGAATTACATTGTGTCATTTGAGAATTATTTATATGCTATTGAGTGTATTAATCTTATCCTCTATTTAGAGACTCACCTCCTTAATACCATTGATATAAAAGTTCTTCCTTTCGTTTTCAGATCTATTTACACCTGAGGATAGTACTAGATTGAGAGCCATAGCTTGACGTGCTTGACTTTACCATGTTAATTTACATTACTGTTTTTGCAATCAGGTTACTAGAATATATTTATATTTAGCAGTAATTCATGTGTCTACCTTTTCATATAATTTATTATAGATCTTATGTAAAGGCCTTTTACCAACTCTTGCATACAAGCTAAAGCAAACACCATTCCATTAGAGGGACGCAGAGGCATTTGGTTCCCCATCCAATCAGGAATTTGGTCTTCACAATTACTGGCCAACGATTTTCTCATTTATAATTCAATATGAATGTCTCCGAGGAAAAGATGAACCACACCAGTCCATCCCAAAGTTAGTGCATGCTGAATCACAACGGGAGTAATCCATTTTTTTGGAGATAAAAAAGAGTAATCCATTGTCCGGCCGGGGTCAACTGACCTTGTTTTGCATGTTCTTGGGGCAAAATCAAATGGTTGTTTATATAGGGGCAAAATCAAGGTCCAAAATTGGACTTCTATTTTCAAAAGTGGAAAAATTGGAGTTATTCCTTTTACTTATCAATATTACTTGTGTGTTTTGCAGGAGAGTAAGAAAGTTAAACGTTGTTGGTCGAATACCTGCAGAGCTACAGAATCTCACCTTTCTACAAGACCTGTATGGATCTATGACTTGTAATGTTAATATTGATAATGAAGTTTGTTAAGCTGTATGTCAATGTTTTGTAGAATACATAGTTTTAACCCCATGAATATAAGAATTCTTTTTAGGGGGCTCCATCTAACATCTTTAGAGGTAAGAGCTCTAACAAAATACTCATCACTATACTGATATTGATGGCTTTGCCCTAATGAGAAAATGTTCTGTCCTGCCATTAATAAATCAGGCAAAAGTATTATCCTTCTAATGTAATCAGTGATGTTGTCTAGCTACAAAAACGTGGAATCTTTCACTAACTCAACTGAAGCTCCTGAATTCAAAGTTCAAATAAATATACCAAATATATCTAGGATCCAAAGTAATCATAACACAAAGTTTTATACTAAAACAAAACAGAAGAATGAAAACTGATACTCTTATTAGACTCTGAATCATTGATTGATATCTTGTGAAACAGACAGGAAATATAATTAGATGCCAAATATATTTGAAGTTCAGAATTTCAGTTGTAGCATTTTATTTGTTTTCTTACAGAACTGATTGTATACATTCAAATTTGAAAACATATTTCATTTCCTTCTATCATAATAATCGACATTAGAACACATAAAGGTCCACTTACCACCTATGAGGTAAGAGTAATATGAACCGTCGATGCAAAATACATGGTTTGGAAAGAGTTGGTGTACCGTAAAAAATCCTTTGAATAATTAACTTTTGATTGCAAGGCAAAAAACAGCAAATGGTAGTTGCAAGATTTTGTGTTTGCTAATGGACTTGATGTTCCCGGTGTTGTTTCAGGAACCTGAATCAGAATTATTTGACTGGTGCCATCCCATCATTCATTGGAAAATTTGCTTCCATGAAATATTTGTAGGAGTTACATGTCAAGCTATGGATTAATACACCATCCATTGGTGGGTGTTATGTTTTAATTATCTTTCATCATTTGAAGGGGCTTGGGTTTCAATCCACTGTCTGGACAACTTCCGAAGGAACTTGGGAACCTCACCAATCTCCTCTCACTGTAAGAGATCTTTTATTTGAGATCAATCAGAGCTATATATATATATATATTATGGACTAGGTAAACTAATATAATTATAGGGAAATTGTTAATCGCATAACTTATTGACAATAAGCTATAAAAAAAACTCATAAGTCATATGTTTGGCATGTCAGTATTTTCAAGTAAATATTGTACTGGTGAACAGTGGCTCAGATGGCTTATTTGGAAAACTATGCCCCTCTTCTGTTAGCAGTTGAACCCAAATAATTAATATCACTCCTGAAATATTTCTTCTTGATTCAGGGGCATTAGCCTGGACAACTTTACTGGTGAACTTCCTGAAGAACTGGGCAACTTGACCAAACTTGAGCAGTTGTAAATGCCTCACTTATAACTTCCAATTTCTAAGAACTAAATTTGGAATGGAGAGATCTAGTGTTCAACTTGATAATTACTGCATGTTTCAATAACAGGTACATTGATAGTTCTGGATTCAGCGGCCCGTTTCCTTCGACGATCTCCAAGCTTAAGAACCTGAAGTACTTGTAAAGTCAATAACAGATCCTCAACTGTTATTTTCATTGTGTTTTCATATGCTAAATGTCAAATATTTTGGTCTGTTTGCAGGAAAGCGTCAGATAATGAATTCACAGGGAAATTACCGGATTACTTGGGGAGCTTGACTGAATTGGAAGATCTGTAAGATTTACTATATTAAATTGGTAAAGCGTTATACAGTGTCTTATTTTAGAGACGGGGAAATTGTCAAGCATAAATTTTCTGTATATGTCCTTTCCATTTGAACTCGGGCAATAGCATTTTTCACCTTTCAGTTGTCACTGAATAGAAATGCAGATATCTGCATACCATTAAATTTGTCTACATGGCATGTTGATACATAGAGCTTGCATTCTCTTATACTAATTTGGACCTTGCAAGTCCCTACTTTATTTTCTGAAAGTATGAACTTGTAGGGCTTTCCAAGGAAATTCTTTTGAAGGGCCAATTCCTGCAAGTTTGTCCAATCTGACCAAACTAACAAACTTGTAAGTACATTGTTTTTTGACATCTTTGGACATTTGATGGCTTAGAAAGTTAGAAGGTCAAGCTTGATAACTGATTTGTGAAATACAATTGAGCAGACGGATTGGTGATATTGTAAATGGGAGTTCTTCACTGGGATTTATCAGTAATCTGACATCTTTGACCAACTTGTATGTGATGCCTTTTTCTATAGAGCATTAGAGCTTACAATATTGTCAAAGTTACAAGTCACCTATATTTGATTTCATTTTTACAGAGTATTAAGGAACTGCAGGATATCGGAAAACCTTGAAACAGTAGATTTTTCGAAGTTTGCAGCGTTAACCATGCTGTATGTTTTCATTATTGGCCATGGTGCCTGCTATAATGCTTTTGGTCATTTCCTGGAATTGATAAGTATTTGTTCAAGTAATGTTTCTTTCCTGTGGCACAGGGACTTGAGTTTTAACAATATTACAGGCCAAGTTCCTCAGTCCATCCTGAATCTAGGAATGCTTCAATTCCTGTAAAAAAATTCTTTATTTAAATGAATTAAATTCATAGAAACACCTGATAAGATTATGTCCATGTTTCATCATTTTGTATTCTGCACAATTCAGGTTTCTTGGGAACAATAGCCTCATAGGAACTTTGCCTGATGTTATAAGCTCTTCTTTAAAAGTGATGTACGTCAATAAGTATCGACATATCATTATAGCACAAAATATTTTCATAATAGAATGATATATTCAGTTCAATTGTAATAATACTGGGCTGTTTCCAGAGATTTTTCCTACAATCATCTCACCGGAACCTCTCCTTCTTGGGCTACCCAGAATAATTTGCAATTGTGAGTGTAAAAGTTTCAAATTTTTGTTTCCAAGTTCAAAAATAGATATTCTAATGTTTTATTTGAACAAGGAATTTGGTGGCAAACAACATTGTTCTTGGTAGCACCAAAAACAGGTACTTATAAAATTTACTTATACTTTCGCCATTTATTAACTGTAATAAAATCTTTTTCATGGCTTTTACTTTTCAATTCAAATTATGCACAGTATACCTTCCGGACTAAACTGCCTCCAACAAGACACTCCTTGTTTCCGTGGATCTCCCAAATGTATATTTGCCACTCCTGTTATCTGTAGTAGTTAACAGAATGAAAGGATTTCGGATAATGGTTATAGTTTTGCACAGATGCTATGATTTTGAATACTGGCTATAATTTTGCACATCTTAATTCCAGATTATTCGTTTGCGGTTGACTGCGGCAGTGATATATCTACTAGGGGCTCAGATAATACCATATATGAAGCAGATGCTACAAACCTTGGGGATGCATCATATTATGTTACTGATCAAATAAGATGGGGTGTCAGCAATGTTGGATACTTTTACCAAGCCACGGATAGAATGGACATAATATATAGCTCTGAGCATTTTCAGACTGCAGTCGACTCAAAATTGTTCGAGACTGCAAGGATGTCACCATCTTCACTGAGATATTATGGGCTTGGACTTGAGAATGGAAATTACACTGTTATGCTTCAATTCGCAGAGTTTGCTTTTCCAGACACGCAAACTTGGCTAAGCTTAGGAAGGAGAATTTTTGACATATATGTCCAGGTACAGATTGAGTGCATTGTATAGCAATTGGTTTACCAAGTCTTTTATTCTATATCTGAAAATATTACTAACATTTGCATAGGGTGCTCTGAAAGAAAAGAATTTCGATATAAGGAAGACAGCTGGTGGAAAATCTTTTACCGCAATTAACAGGACTTACACGGCAACCGTGTTAAAAAACTTCCTCGAGATCCATCTCTTCTGGGCTGGCAAGGGCACTTCTGGCATACCTACCCAAGGTTACTACGGACCGATGATCTCAGCATTAAGCGTCACTCCAAGTAAGCAAACCTGTTATATTAACTTCAATGTAGGCTACATTGGCTCTAGTAAGTAAAAACATTTATTTTCAGATTTTACTCCAACTGTGCGAAATGGTGTACCAAAAAAGGGAAGCAAAGCAGGTGAAATTGCTGGAATATTGACTGGCGCTTCAGTTTTAGGATTAGCAGGCTTATTTGGAATATTTATGTGGATAAAGAAGCGAAGAACAATGGCAAAGCAGAAAGAAGGTATCCTTTTTAGTACAGTTATTCAGACAACATAATTTTCAAATTATTTGTTCTTTACCATCTGCTGGAATGAAAAATACAGAACTGTACAACCTGGTCGGACGACCTGATGTCTTCAGTAACTCTGAACTCAAGCTAGCCACAGACAATTTTAATTCTCAAAACATTATCGGGGAAGGCGGATACGGGCCAGTGTATAAGGTTGTCTATTTCCCTCAATTGTCTGATTTGGTATTAAGTGCAACTTTCTTCTCCACGTTCAAAATATACATGTAACTTTAGACGGTTCTTCATTCAACAGGGTAAGCTACCCGATGGAAGAGTTATAGCTGTGAAACAACTTTCTGAATCATCTCATCAAGGCAAAAGCCAATTTGTTACGGAGGTTGCAACAATTTCTGCTGTGCAACACCGGAATCTTGTGAAACTGCATGGATGTTGCATTGACAGCAACACACCATTGTTGGTTTATGAGTACCTTGAAAATGGAAGCCTGGATCAAGCAATCTTTGGTGAGTTTCACTTCTGCAAATTGCCAGCACATATGAATATACTTGATTTCTCTAATAAAACTCCCTTGTTTCATGAATACTTGATAATTTTCTTCTGTGTTTTTGCATCATTTGTATTGTCGAGGCTTTATAGAGTTATTTCGACTTGTGTAGGACATAGTAGCTTAAATCTAGACTGGGCAATGCGCTTCGAGATCATTTTAGGCATTGCAAGAGGCCTAAGTTATCTTCATGAGGAGTCGAGTGTATGCATCGTGCATAGGGACATCAAAGCCAGCAACATACTACTTGACACTGATCTGATCCCAAAGATCTCTGACTTTGGACTCGCCAAGCTCTATGATGAGAAGCAAACTCATGTGAGCACGGGAATTGCAGGCACATTGTAAGAACATAACACCATTTCTCTTCTTCTAGCTGTAACTTTTGACATGAAAGCTACTTTTAACTTGTTTTACCTTTGACAAGTGGCTATCTGGCTCCTGAGTATGCAATGAGAGGTCATTTGACACAAAAGGCTGATGTTTTTGCATTTGGGGTGGTTATGTTGGAGACAGTTGCTGGTCGATCAAACACTAATAACTCTCTCGAAGAAAGCAAGATCAATCTCCTTGAATGGGTAATAAGCTGATCAATAATATTTTCATCCAAGAAAACATTGGTTTAATTTGTTTATATTCAGGGAGTACTATTGATGTGAACTTATCGGGGATACTTTAGTATTTTCATGGGGTCTGTTTGTTTGTTAATAGTTTAAAATTAGAGATAAGAATAGTTAATTTCCTTATTGTCGAGTTACCCCTTATGGATATATTCCATGTATTAGGGATAGATCAATTGAATCAACTAGCTAGACATACCTACAAAAGGGTATAGCATGCATCAATTAGCAAGCAAGCAATCAATATGAACTAATCTAGTCTCATTTCATCCTAGATCAAGCCAACACTTGCCCATCTATCCTTTTTTGTGTTTGCCCTCCATGAACCCCCTAAGCGATAAAAAAAGTTAATTTCTTTGTATTATCTCTTGTGTACTAAACCTATGGTCATCTATAGGCCTGGGACCAGTATGAAAAGGAGCAAGCTCTCAGAATCCTTGACCCAAATCTCAAGGGATTCAACAAGGATGAAGCTTTTAGAGTCATCCGTGTTGCGCTGCACTGCACGCAGGGCTCACCACATCAGCGACCACCAATGTCGAAGGTCGTGGCAATGCTCACCGGAGAAGTTGAGGTACCTAAGGTGGTCACAAAGCCAAGCTACATCACTGAGTGGCAAATGATGGACGGTAATAGAAGCTATGTCACCAGCAGCTACTCAGGGTCTACCACCCATGAGTTCGGCAGGCAGAACGAGATCGAACCTCTGCAGCAATCACCACCTATAATCAAAGCGGGAAGGTGAATGCAAAGTTGAATTGTGCAGATGGTCGATTTTGGGTTGATGTGACAATATTGAATACTGCTCGTTCTTACTTACATATATAGTTGCATGCTGATGTTAGTGGTATTTGGATATTTATAGATATTTCAGGAACAAAGCTGTAATAAGTTTAAACTGTAATAAGGGGCGACCCAATAGTGTCATAAGAAACAAAACTTCATGGAATAAATGGTTGACACATGAGGCAATGAGGTGGACAATTAGCATCAGTACAGAACCTTCCATCTGTGACGGCCTCTAACATACTTGAAATTAGCGGCCGTCACATGAAAGTCATCTTAATCGGGCCTTTTTTCGGCCCTATTGAGATAACTTAGGCCCGTCACGGATGACACATATCAGTGACGGGCTGTAGTTTAGACCCGATTGAGATAACATTCCACATCTCAATCTGGCCTCAAGTTGGCGCCCGTCACAGATGATGGTCATATCTACGTTATAGTTTATAAAACCAGATGAGAGATATGTGAATTTTGTGAACAATGTTATTATCACTTTATCGGATGAAGAAATAACCAAAATAAAAGTTATAGATCTTGATGAGTTATACAACTTTGTTGTTGATGACATTTTCAATTGAAATCATTTAGTATTTGAAATTGTTGTTTGAAGTTGTCATATTTTCAAATTCAAATTCAAACTGTTCAATAAATGTTACATAGAGAAATGACCAAAATAAAAGTTGTAAATCTTGATAAGTTATACAACTGTGTTGTTGATGACTTTTCCATTTGAAATCATTTGGTATTTGAAAATATTGTTTGAAGTTGTCATATTTTCAAATTCAAATTCAAACTGTTCAAAAAATGTCATATAGAAAAATGATCAAAATAAAAGTTATAGATCTTGATGAGTTATACAACTTTGTTGTTGACAATTTTTCTATTTGAAATCATTTAGTACCCGAAAAAATATTTGAATTTCTTATATTTTAAAATCCAAATTTTATATAGTTCAATCAAACCCGGATGGAGAAATGACCAAAATAAAATTGGTAGATCTCAATGAGTTCTACAACTTTGTTTTTGACAGTTTTTTCATATGAGTTAATTTAGTATCATAAAATTCAATTCAAAATTTATTTTTACCTAGAAGTCTGATTTGCCTCCTCATCATGTTAATACTTGCTAAATATATATTTGATCCAATTAACTCGGTTTTGCTGGTGAAATATGTGAATGGATGTGAAATATGTGATCAAAATAGATGTTATGTGAATGTGGTTGTGTTAAATATATTGATGGTTGTGTATGTGAATGAATGTACAACTACTTCTCCGAAAGTCGATTCCAAAGAACTATGAGGTTAAGCGTGCTTAGGGTGGAGCAATTTCGGGATGGGTGACCAACCCGGAAAGAATTTCCAGGTGTAGAAAAGACCGGCCCACGGGCGTTCCAGGTGTAGAAAAGACCGGCCCACGGGCGTGCCTAGCAAAGGCCTGAGGCTAACCAAAAAACAATTTTTTTTGATTATACTCATCCGTAACGGGCTATAATTTAGACCCGATTGAGATGAGAGTCATCCGTGACGGGCTATAGTTTAGGCCCAATTGAGATAAGAGTCATCTGTGACGGGCTATAGTTTAGGCCCGTTAGAGATGAGAGTAATCCGTGACGGGCTTTATTGTTGGCCCGATTGAGATGTGTGTCATCCGTGACGGCCGGATGCCCGATTGAGATATTTTCTCACATCAGTAACCTTTGCTCAGTGACGGGGGTGCTACCCGATAGAGATGAGGCTTTAGGCCCGTTACAGATGACCGGACCTGTTCTAGTGTAGACTCCATTTGACATGTGGCCAACAACTTGTACATATTTTCATGGTTGGCAAATTGATTTGTTTTAATGTATGTTGCAAACATATATTAAAGTTGGGGAATCATTAAAGTTGGATCTTGTTTTACTTAAACTGTAATTTGATCAGTAAAACAAAGTACAACGATCATAAGTTATAATTTCCATCTCAACTTAAAAAGTAAGCACCGGATGCATCACAACATCCACACTGAAACAGACCTTAAAGGTTATTTGGACATCAATTCAACAATGACAAAACTATTATTCACTTGAATTACGTATTGTAGGCAGGTTCCACAACTGCATGTTAACATTCGTACTGGTATCTAAGACACCGACTTGGTAAAGCGTTTCTATTGGAGGCAGGCTGGTAACAATGAAGGCTTGAGGGAGAGGTGAAGCCATGATCACATTGCAAAGCCTAATAGATGTGATGAAGACCCACTTGGGTGGCGAAACTCGTTAAGATGACAAAGGTCATGAAGAAAACAAGAGGTCACCAGGAAGGGTGAGAACCACCTGGTGGCCAGCCCATCAATTGGCCTTCGGACCATGGACCGTGTATATGGCAGCGCAAGTACTGATAAGGCCCGCTAAAAACCAAACAAGTCTTAAAAATACTTTAGTACCTTTGTAGTTGTCCTTATCAAGGGATAAACATGTAAAAGCATGTGTGAAAATTAATCCTATAGAGTTATAAATAGACCACCAACGAGGCATTGCAAGTCATAGTTTTTAAGAATCAAAATTGTATTCTTTGCTAACACTTGAAAACCACCGTTGGCTTATGTTACAATAGTTTCTTTGGCAAAAACATTAAAAAAAACATGAACAGTACATGCAAGCATCAGTTCAGATCTACCAGGGGCGGATCCAGGAACAAAAAATTGGGGGGGGGGGGGGGGGCTCAGTTACACAGTTTCTTCAATCTCCAGCCATTTAGGGACATTTAGTTTATTATTCATGGTGAAAAAATTGAATGGGGTGCTCCGGGGGTATCCATGGATCTTGTGGGTATTGGATCCACCCCTGGATCCACGTTCATAGAGTACATTGGAAGCAGAACATGAACAACACAATACAATCATCCATAGTAGTAGGAGTCACTGTCGTCACAACATGAAGCAGCAGGACGTTCGCACCGCTCCCCTGCTAGTTGTCGTTTGCAGCCCACGTCATGGCCTTCGTCACCTTCGTCGAACCACAACCGCTGCTCACATGCACTGTCGCTGCCGGATTCTGCGCAACTGAGGCCAACTTCAGGTCTCCCCCTTCTCCACCGCACCGCTAGATCTAGGAGCTGATGGACCTCACCGCAGCTCTTGATCCTGCAACCACTGGATTCCGGTGATCCCACTTCTCTCCGTCACTTGGGGACGGTGGTAGAAAGGTGCAGGAAATCCAGCAACGACCTGGAGAGTATGATAATGTTGGCTGGGAGATGGTAGTCCACCAAATCCAGTGGTCTGCCGTAATGTTGGAGATAACTGTTGTTACATGAGAGAGAGGCGACCTGACATGGGTCAGGATCTAGTGTTCCAAAGCAATACCACCACTGGATCTGGCACTCCCAAGCACTGTCATACCAGATTTGTCTCCTCCACTATCACCGTTGCTCCCCTTTGTTGTTGTCACATCCCCTTCCCTTCGCTACTGTCATGGCCCTCATTTGCATGGAACATCGCCACTGCCGCTCTTCTCCTAGAGAGAGATGGGGGAGGAGATCGAGGTATGGGGAGAGAGAGAGGGAACAGATGTGGGGGAGGGGGGTGAATTGGCAATTTATAATGTGTTGGCTTTTTCATGGGTGGTCAGGTTGTCAAGCAAGAAATAATTATATTTTTACAAGGGTCCTCCTACGATCATCTATAAAGATCAATTTTTATAGCAGCTTGTGACCAGGGATCCCGGTGAATTTTCGTAAGCGACTTTTCTTTTAGACCATCTTTAGGAATAAAGTGGTGTTGATAAAAATGGTTTATAAAGTAGTGGTAAAAGATTCTCTTTTAGTCACCAATCAATTGTTATTTTGAATTTTTAAAATGCATAGATTCCCTCTTAAGCACCTAATTATCTGAAAATGTATAGATTTTTTTTCATTGGAATCAATGCCCCATATTAATTTAAAATCCTAAAAATGCTTATACTGAATTGGGGCGGACTGAGTAACTTTTACTTTTACTCTACAGAGTGTGTTCGTATTACCATCTTCAAGCTAGGATCCAGACCAATAAAGAAATGCCCTATTCTTCCTAAAAGCAAGTATAATGTTTGACTATAAACATGCTTTAAGCATATATATGTGATGGAGAGAGAAACAAACAAAAATAAAAAGTATTAGCTCTAATGCACAAGTTAGCTTTAATGTGCTCGAAGATAAATGCATCAAATATATAAGTAAGATTGAGAAATAGAGAGGAGGAAAAAAAAGATGAAGATAACTTTATAGCTAATCAGCTCTAATAATATCCTTATATGGGGTTAGCTCTACTATTAAACTTACTCTATGAGTTATATAGTCACGTTATCACATAAATCCATAGTATTAATTGCATGCCTCGCTCATACAAAAATTAATAAAGATACTTGGCTTACTTATAGATGTTAATAGTAGAGCCAAATGCTGGCTATATATATATATATATATATATATATATATATATATATATATATATATATATATATATCTTTTGTCATATCATTTATATAGCTAAGCCAATAATTTATTCTTATAACAGTTACATGCCTATGCTTAAGCTAGCTACGAATTGGCTTCTCCTATTCTCTCTCATTCAACTCGGCATAAACATGAGGCCGTAATTTGTTTAATCTTACTTACGCCACTTTATTGTAGTGGCGGCGTCCTAGAAAAACCGAGTCCAAGTACTTTGCCGATATCTAGTTTTGTGTCGTTGTACCCTAAAAAAGAGAATAGTGCTTGTGCCATTACATTCCCCACTAAATCCTATAGCACTGTTATACATGCTTACTAGATGATTCCCCACGCATTGTTGCGGGATGGCTGTGCATACTCTAATGACTTTGAAAATATGTATGCGTTAAAAATAATGAACAAAAAAAATTGATGTTTAGTACCTAGAAATAAAACAATGTTTAATTTTTGATGACCTGAGCTATAAAAAGAATGAAAACACTATTTATAATATTTAGAATATGAATTTCTTATGGTAGTTTTACTTCTTTGTATTTTTAAATGGATGGTTAGGACAAAATCTTTTGATGCCTAGACGCTTTAATATTATGAGAACATCGTTAAATGCTGTTGGTGCCATCCTAATCACAATAATGTATTTAACCAATTCAAATTCAACCTGTAACAACAATATGATACATTCGTAATGAATATATTAAATGAATAGATTAACCTTTGTGGACCATGGTTATTC